ATGACCTTTGTACTTGGTTGCTGCTTGATGTAGGTTGCTAAGCCTTTAAAAATTTTGCACATGGAGGACATGAAACAAAATATTTTTTAAGGTTTTATACATACTTTTAAATAAATAAAAAAAATCATAAATTACTACATCAATACCATAAAATCCAACTATAATATATCAAACGTAGTAACTAATCTGTATTTGAGTCTAAAAAAAATGAAATTTCGAGCAGACTAAAGACACAACCTACCTCATTGAAATCTTGATTTAAAAGAAAGAAACGACACTAGGTACGTTAAAAAGGCTTAGAAAACTACTAGGGGGACATTTTGAGCTTCCAATTGCTTATCCATGTCACATATAGAAGTAAATGTTTATAAAGGAGCATTTCCAAAAATGGAAGGAGGTGAGTGAGGTGACACTATGTTTGATTTATTATGTAAGCAATATCTTAGCAAATAGAAAAGATAAGACCTTCTTGTTTATATTCAAGCTTGTTAATATCTGTAAATTGAGTTTCTAATTTGTATAAAACTATAGACTTAGTATTTTGACTTCACAAACATCTAATTTGAAACAGTGCTGCATTCAACATACCACGTGACACACAAAAATTTGTTTTTTTAATATTTGCTTTTAAATTAACAAATTGAGTTATGTATAGTTCTAAAATTTGAATTATAATCTACTGTTTAATACCAAACTTACTGACATAAATTCATGAAATAGTAGTTCAATAAAATTTTGAATGTGAGTCAACAAACGAGATGACATGGCCTTTCACCTGTGACCCGTATCGAAAGTGTCAAAGCTGCATCTTATAATGAGATTATGAACTGGTACAGACTGACCAAACTGAGATGAATTTTGTTTAAATTTGTACCTTATGTCAATTTGGAAATTTTTTGTAGCTAGAACATGTTCCAATTGAGTGAGCCAACATTATACATCTAAAATTATAAAACTTAATATTTGAAGTTATGACTTGTATGTGTTTAATATTGAATCATTCAGTTTAGTCAACAAGCACGACTACAGATGAAGAAAAAAATTTTTTTACTTGAATGAAGCATGCTCTGGAAAATAATGATTAATTTACTTATATCTTTTTTTAACATGTCTTATACCCTGATCAACTTGTATTAATATTTTGCAAAACTATTGCATGTTTTATATTATGGTACTGACCTTTTAGAATAAAGAAGGATACCAAGTAAACTGTAAATATTTTGATCCACTTAAACTGTGCTCCCTCTAATTGAGTACAGCCAAACAAATACACTGTATCAAAACTAATAATTATTAACACTACATTTTTGTAATTCACATACACTTGCTTAGAATCTAAAATTTAATAACTGTAAAAATATCAGTATTTTAAATTAAACCATTTTATTCAACTAGCTCAGCTTGAGAGCAGAGGATTATTACTGAATGAGATCCTTACTTTTTGTGATACACTGTAATTATATGTTATAATCAAATAAGTGTTTACATTCTTTCATCATTATTTCTTTTTTCTGATAAATTAGCTGCTGACAAAATGCAGTAAATAACCTGTTTTAAACAGCTATACTCCCACTCATCATATCAGATTTGTAAGGAAGCATATTACTTATAGAATATATAGCAATGAGTAAGAAAAAAAAGAGCTTAATTTCTATTAAATGTTATGTTGTCTGAATACAGTGTAAAGTGTATGTTAGATTACATGTATGATTATTGTTCTGTTAACTAAGGATCACAGTGTTAATCAGACCCGTATTAAAGAGGACTATACAACATGCGAGTTAACTGGTAAAGGTTATGGTAGATTAATCTACACATTTACACATGTATATATACATATGTGGTTCCACTACATGTAGATACACATACCTTTTCATGACCTTGTCTTACATGACCTAATTTGTTTGGTATTTTGGAGAAAACCATTGATAGAAACTGAGTGCTTGAAACAACTGTAATTTTAGAAAACCTCATATATTAATTTGAAATAAAGAAATGTGTCAGTAGGTACAATGTATATTAAAACTAGCAAGCCTATGGCCTACATTTATGGGGCTGCTATAATGCAAATTTAATGCTTGAACTATTATTTTGCACTTTTTCAGTTTAATGATCATTGCTGCTATAATACAAATTTAATTTCTTTAACCATGTTATGAATAGTAATTAGTGGCCTACTTATTTACGTGTTTTAATGTAAATCAATGCCAAATTTGGGGGTCCACTTTCGAGGAATTCCCATAAAAGTGTTTTCCCAAAATAACCAGGTTCTCTTAAGGATTGGATGCAAAGTTTTACCTCTGTGCAAATCTCATGACCGAGACAATCCGTTTGATACCATTTAGAACTCAGTGCAACCAGCAGTTGAGGAAGACTTGCATGACACACACAGACACTGAATGTTATTATATAGATGTCACAAAGTTAATTTTTTCTGTAACAAGCATGATTAGCTTCCTTGTATTCCATTTTAGGTATTTTAAGAAAACTGATATTATTTGAAATGCAGTGGCATGTACTAAATCAACTGGTAACAATATATTTTTTGTTGATGAAACTTTGTAGAATGGACAGCAACAGCCTGTTGGAGAGGACAATATTTTGAAGGTCTTCCACCTTTTGACTTCAGGTCAGTGTGTGTATGGTATAGTCGGTCTTTGTAGTTTTCTGGTGGATTATGGAGAGCGTGTTATGAACAGATACCTACACTTCCAGTCCTATCATCCAACCTCGATAAAAGGTGGAATAACCCATTGCCTAAACAAGAGAGCAGAAAACAATTTAGATAATATATCCATCGAAACAGAATGCCGAAAGATCGTAGCGTGTTGTAAATAGAATGGTTACACCTCCTCCTTCACCAAAACCTCCCTGAGGAAGACCACAACAGAAACAAAAGATAAGAAAAACACTACTATTACTTCCATTTATCTCCCCTACCTGCATAAGTTCAGTGAAAAAGTTAAATGCATAGCCAAGATATTCAACACAGAAGTCCAGTGGAAATCCTACAAGACATTAAGATCCATTCTGGTAAAAAACAAACAGCAACCTACCAACAAGAAGCACAAAAACTTCATTTATAAAATTCTGTGTTTCTGCAATGAAACATACATTGGAGAAATGGGTAGAAGACTTGCGACAAGAATAAAAGAACATAAAGACAGTACAAAACTCATGAAAACACAAAATTCAGCCATTGCAGAACATGCTATGTCAACTAGACACAAAATAAACTGGGAAAAAACTAGAATCATTATATATTAAGAAAATTAAACCTTCACTAAACAGTGAGTAACCTGTGGCTACCATTGGTTGAATGTACAAGAAATCTCTCCTCCAATCAGAAACATGGATAACCAACCAATCATAATATGCTCTCCACATTCCATCAGAATACTATAAGACCAATTACACGATACACACATTGACCTGAAGACAAAGGTGGAAGATTTTTTGAACATCGTCCTCTACACTTGTGTCTCTACAACAGGCAGTTGACATCCATTCTACAAAGTTTCATCATGAATACTCTGCTTAAACAATCTATCAAAGAATATTTTTTGTTGTTTGATGTGAGCTAGAATATGAAAACCAAGCTCAATGGATTGTTGAGATTCATTGTTTCTCATCATCACCAAGTAACTCTTGAACATTGTTCACTTCTTCCACAAGTAAACAAACGTGTTAACATTGGTTGAGATTATGCTTTTCCAAAGTAATATGCTGGTTATTATTTCAAATACAAACAGATTCAACTAAAAAATTTATTAAATGAGATACTAACCAATCACCTGGTGGTACATTTCCTATGTATAACTTTCGTTCTGTTTTGGTTCCATTGACAACTTCTGTACTTGGACATACACATTTACATCGAACGTCACTATACTGGCCCTGATTCAGAAAAGTAAACTGTATATAACTATATGCATATAAGTACAAGTATTTCATATTCAATTCCTACTACATATATATTATGTCCATGTTACTTCTAGAAAAATCCGTAATAGCACTACAAGCTGTACTATGCAATATTTATCTATTTATACAAACTATTATCTTCTGTGACTTTCATTGAAAAAAGAACAAAAACATACTATGAATCTACTACTCACAACAAACTCTGAATAATCTGAAACCCCGGGATATTATTTTATCTCATATTTATTCCTTTATTAGAAAGAACAGATATATATATATATATATATATATATATATATATACACACACATATACACACACACACATATATAGCATGACCTCCTTCAAAAATGTTGTTTCTTACTTTTCCTTACACCTGTTGTACAATTCGTACTGCATCAGTTTAAGCTTCTAGGATTTCATTCTTACTTGTCCTTACACTTGTTGCAGAATTTGTAATGTATCAATTTACACTTTTAGGGTTCCATTTTGCAATCATAAACACTCCATATGTTTTCAATCACCCCATAATAATCTATACAACCATATGCATAGTACCAGAAAAATGTCACTTTACAACTGAACCTGTTTCTGTTTTGTTATACACAAATCTACCTCATACATTAAATTGGAATCAATATAAGTCGAAAACAATGTATTTAGTCTAATATATAAAAACTATGCTCCAACTGAATGCAAAATATCATTAAGTAACATCAACTACCCCATAGCCAACTGTGATCCTGTGCACTTGCAATAAAACGTTTTTTTCATCCATTTAACTTTTCAACATTTTCTTTTTTTTGCAATAGGATAGGTGCAAAATTAAATAATTTCATTCTATCTAAGTAGTATCTTTACATTAAGCAAGCTTCAAGTGGTTGAACTGAAAAATAAACTGACTCAGCTCCACTGGCAGATCCAAGTGGGGGCCATGCACACCCTATCATTAGGCAAGTTATTCTTCAAATTAATATGCATGAGAAAAATGAAAGAGAATGACTAGATTGTGGTTTTCAAAGATTATAGTTAAATGTTCACTTATTATCCTAATATTCAATTTCATATCACAATTACTAGCTTATCAATCAAGAGACTTGCTACAAGCGGTACTTTAACTGTACGTGTGCAAATCTCTAATAATTTTCAAAAGGCTAAAATAAATTGTTTTCAGGCTTTAGTTCATCTAAATTTCAATGCAAAGACATGCAAGTGCTTAAATTTCTTTTTACATATTACTTTTAAACCAGATAGTTTTTATACATGCGGGTTTTTTGGGCCCTTTTCCTAGCAAACAGATATCTTTCCTTAACTCAAATCCTTCACATCATTATTCTTCTTAACAAATAAGAAAAATCCAAGTTTCTAAACTCTATGCATAATTATCTTACCCTCATAAATAAAAAAAAAAACTTTAATAAAGTTTTTAATCATTCATCAAACAGCTGGATTATTCTTATTGAAAACTTTCTCAGTATCAGTTTTCTAAAATTTTGCCATTTACAAAGGGCAAGGTGACCTAAGAGTCCAAAGTGCTGTACGTATCAGATGATTAGTACATGGAATTTCCATCAAGGCATTATTTGTTTGTGAAGTGAGGCCAAATATTAGTTACTTGGAATTTCCACAAGTTGTACGGTAGTCACAGCAGTAAAATACTTTTGTTAAGTGGACTGGACAATCAGTTCTTCTTTTACCAAATAGCTTAAAAAACACTCTTACAACATTAGATTATGCATGGTAAACATGTAAGTACAATGTTTAAAGATCTACCCTTTAACAAAGAAGTTTAGAATATCAGTTGATGAAACTATTAAGCATTACCAGCAGGTAAAGGGTATTACTGGGCAAAACAGATTCAAATAAAAACAAAACCAGCTGTCTTATTAGCACAATCTGGCAGCAAGTTCAATAAATGGTAATTTGTCAGCATTACTATAAAATTTAGAGGCTTTATCAACTTTGAAAATATATAAATGGACACACTACATGAGTAATTAAACTTTTCTGTACCGGAACAGGAGTGTTAAGGCCTGCTTTTAGCAATAGTGACCCCTAGTAGGAAATCAAAAGATCATGTGCTTTGCCTACATCCATTCAAAATCTTTAAAATATCTGAGATAATACAACTTGCAGTTTAAATGACCCTGTATCGTCCCATATGTTAGTGTGTTTTTGTTGGGGGTCAAGATTTTAAGACTTGTGCTATAAAGAAGTATTAGCTCCCCTTCAATTTTCTTAAAATTTGTTTGCTTTCCTCAGGTAATGTTCTAGGATTAATTTAGGGAAGGCTAGTTTCTGAACAACATAGTTTAAGTAGTTTATTTGATGTATAAATATGTCTCATGACAGGACATTATATATAACTGATACCAGCATTTGATTAAAAAACTATTTTTTCAACACAAATTAAAGCAAAAACAAGGGGGTTCATGTTATTTGGTTTTGTACGATCATAACAAACACAAAACAATGGAATTACAAACCAAAATTAATACACTATCAAATCTATGAAATAATTTTTCTGATTCTGACTATAAGATATGGCCATGTCTATGACAATATAAATCCAAAATGGATGACATTTGAGAAGTCTTTTAGATTAACATTAATTTTATTAAAATTTTCAAAAACGTCCATTATGGGCTGTTAAACCACCCAGTTCTTTAGATAATTTACAGCATAAACTGCTATCATTGTCATAAACAGTGAGCTATAAATGTTACAAAAGAGATCCCTGAGGCTAATGACTGTAAATAAATACATGATGCCATTGAAAAAGCATTTTTGATGAAAATTTTTTTCCTATAAATATCATGGTAAAAAAAAAATCAATACATATCAAATAAGTAATAACCAAAACACAGAATCAATTTATTTTGTACTGTCTCTCAATTACATATGTACAAGTGTTGCACAGAATACATTTATTTTATTGTCAAAATTGCTCTTGGGTTTAAAGTAATGACTTCAAAATATATTTGGGTTGCTTGACAGGTGGAAATGCAAGAGTTGCTAGTGTTTTTCCCCACTTGTCAGATTTGTACATTTTGCATATTTATTGTTGCTCTTGCCAGAGATTCTTGGTCACCCCCAGAGGCATATTTAACACAGGGGCAATGCACTGACGGGCCACTCATATTGCAGGTCCCCAAAGTAATGCAAAAAAAAACAACAAAAAATGTACAAATTTCTATACTTATTGATGGTCATTATGGAAGGGCCCCCTCAGAAAATTTCACTGAGTAGTTTGAAGTGTTAAAAATATCTCTGGTCACCCCTAGACATTTCTAAAATGATTCTTCTGTTCAAAGTATGGATTAAGTTTTCTATAATTTTCTGCCAAAACATTTTCAGTACATTAAGTTTGTTTGAACAATCTAAAAAGCATAAAGCAAATGTGTGAAAGCAATAAAGTATGTTACAACACATAAAAGGCTATCACTTAGAAATGGAAATAAAACATAAATAAGATATGATATCAGAAAAACACTATTTAGTATTGCTGCATCAAGTTCACACTTTTTGGGGGGTTGGAGTGAGTTTTAACTCAGCAATCTACATTATAAATGAACTAGAGTAGCCCCCTACTGTCTTGACTGGAGTCTGTCTTTTCAACATCTTAAACTTGTGTCTTCTCATCCTATTACCTTCAAGATACAGCATAAAGAAATCAGAGGCCTTTACACCATCAATCTTATAGCTAATTTTGTAAACTTCAATAAACTGATCCTTGGGAATATCCTAGCAACCTTTTTCTAAACTCTTTCTAACAGGAGCAGAGAACAAGGTTAGGAAAAGCACTGTTGAATAAATAGTGCAATTGAAATATTATTATAAACCTATTCTCAGTATTATATAGTTATGCAAAATTTACAATGTAGTAACATAAATGTCAGACCTATAACTTCAACATGTGTTAAACCATTAACAAAGGAGAAAATCTGAAGTAAAACCAAAAGTTAATTTGAGAAATATTGTATAACATATACAAAGAAGCCCCCCAAAAAAAAATTTAGGGGGGGGGGGGCAAGAAACTCAAGTTTGTAAAAAATTATGAAATCGAAAAACAAATGCCTTTTGATTTTCCAAAAACAT